TGTAGAACAGCCCTGAGTGTGAAATATGCTAAGTACACCACATTCCTTGCTCTTTTAATTGTTCTTACACCTCAACTTATTGCTCGGAATAATTTAGTGTGGTCTGTAGATATAGCAATTATTATCAGAGGTTCCCTGAAACCTGAAATTTATTTCAAGGGTTCTTGAGTATTGTCCGCAATACTTTTTTTTATTTGCACTAACTTTCAAATTTTCAGGGCAAGCTTTTGGGGTGTACCCCGTTCTTCTAGGTCGAAGCAGTATTAGATTCCTGCTACAGTGTGAGAAGTAAGTCTGCACAGCAGGTGGATTAGAGACAAGGGCAAAGTGATCTCACCACAGCAGTGATATAGAGAGATATAAGGTTTCAGTAGGTAGTATAGTTCACCCTCCATTGAAATAGAATTTTAAGGGTTTTTTTACTTTAAAGCATATCTAAACCCAAGATTAAAAAATATGAATGAGTGAAATGAAAGTATTGCATCCTACCCTTTATTAGATGTGTTGGCTAAATGTATTATTTTTTTCCACGTCTTTTTCTAGTGGTGATCCTGCCAGGAACACACTTTCTGTCCTAGGATGACAACCATATTGTATTTAAGAGGACCAGCACCATCACCCTAGGAAGAGAGTGTGTTAGGACTATAACTAACACCTAATGTTGTCAATAGCATAGTGGGAGGTGTTTTATAATCAATGAAAATTGCTGAGAAAAATGCTGAGAACTGTCCGCAGAGGAAGATAGTACAGGAATTTATCAGTTCACAAGATTTCTGGCTGGATGAACAGCTATTAATGCACTTCTGGAACAGATACAACAAAATGCTTTCAACAGTATTTTTACCAGACCCTAATACCAGCCATAAATGGTGCAATTTTCTTTCAAACAACCACAGGTTGTTGGAAAAAAAAGTGCATGATTCCCCCATCAACACAGTCAGTGTTGATGGGGGAATTCCTCCCGTGCAGCTATTATGTTCTCCTAGCAGGGAGAGCCATCCTGGCTGGGAGAACACACAGTGTTTATTGCTGGTGTCTATAGCCGCTGGCAATAATTGCATGGAAAATCTCACATGCTGGTTCTACCCAAGTCGATCAATGGATAGACTTGGGTACAATCAGCCTGTCCGTACCAGTTCGAAACTCGGCCAATCCCTGCTGAACCTATGGCATATGGTCTTTGGCCGACTTTAGTGCGTAACTAAGAGAAGTTAATTGTTAGAGTTTACATATACTTTAAACATACAAAGTTGCAAGCCCCTTTGTGGGGGATTTATACCTAGAAAGAAATATTTCAATTCAGACCTCCACAAATGAATATGAATAAAAATTTTAACTGCTAACTTCTGAAAATACTTGCTGCCAAACTGGCCAACCAAAGATAGGACAAAAAAAAATGTCACCCGGTGCAAATCACAACTGCAGTGTGTTAAATATGGTTGTGGAAATACGCACAGGAAAAAAGGGTATCCTGAGCTGTGTTCTGCTGTGAATTGGCCCTAACTCCAGGATTTGCCAAAAACTGACCCTTTAATAACACAAAGAGTAATATGCAGTAAACCATCACAATCAGTAATCATCTAGCATTTCTTGTGTTTCTTTTAGCTGTGAAAACGTGGAATCTGTTTGGTTATTGTGGGTTATTGCAGTGTTTTGCAGCCTTTTTTCAGTCAAGTCACCCTTTAAAATTATGCACAAACTCAAGGCTCCCCATTTTAAAATGTAAAAACTTACAGTGTTCTATATTGCAGCAGCATCCACAAACGTGGGCCATCCAACATTAGAGGTGATTTATTCCTCCACCTTTGCAGACTGGTACTGACTAGTATTCTAGCATTTGTCTTCTTTCTCATTTTCTCACCCATTCTTCGCTAACCCCAGTACTGACGGGCAAACAAGGATACTGTGCAGTTGCCCAACGTCCTGCTTATCAACTGATGATAGTGTTGATTATTAGGATGCCAGTGGCTGGCCCCCACAGTGCCGAAGGTTGCAATCATGCACAATAAAAACCTGTGGATTTTTTAACAAAAAGTCAGGCTTGATCCACTCACTGGCTTGTTGACAATTTTAGGACAATTTTTAGATTTTTTGCCAGGAACACAGAAGGCACCCTAGTATGCTACAGCACCCTGGTTGAAAAAGGCTGGGTTGTTGTACAGTACAATGTGCTTGCTTTTGGCACTGTCTCTGTATTAATTTGTCACTCTGTTTTCTCTGTTTTTGTAGCAAATGATAAAGGAAGCTACACATGATTTATTTTATGCAACAAACCAAAGACTTTTTATCAGAAGCATAAAAATCTTAATTCCTTCGGGCTGGCCACAAAAAGCTACTTATGGCTATCGTACAAGAGAAAAATATGAGACGGTAAGATACCAATTCAACACTGTACAGAAGGATGAGATAAAAAAACACACTATACGTCCTACTATATATACAAATGAAAGTGCCTAATGAACTACAATGTACTCACAGGACCTGACAATAGGAACAGTGCAAAAACACTAGCTTAATGATGATGCAATGTGTATGTGGAGCAAAGGCAACTTTTATTGATCAAATCAATGTAAAATTTATTTTTGAGCAAAAAACACATGAGAAAAATATATTGTGCAGTATATATGCCACAACTTGTCAGGTGCCAGGTGGCAAAAGAGCTATAATAGTAGAGACAACATATTAAAGTCCTTTAAGAAGGTCCACAAAGGGATATAAATACCCATGTCTCTGATGGTGGAAGATATGGCCACTGGTTGGATACAAACACAGCACCCATGCCCACAATGGCGGCAGTAGTTGTCCCATATAATGGACATTGATAGATGCTGCCAAAATGGAGGAGATGGTTAAAAAGACAATAGAGCAAAAGTAGCTTATTGCAGACATCTGTCTCTCATTGAAACGTTGTACTGATCTGTCTGATAAGGGAGGAGTTGTTGTATTAATATATACTAGTCCTGTGGGTATATATTATTCTCACTATTCTCTGCAAACAGGGTTATAGAGTGTTCAAGTGGAGAGAGCAATGCAGGGAGCCTTGTATTCCACCTGTTGGCTTGATAACAGGTTTCATATCATTTACATAGTAGTACAGTATTGTACCATGTTGGCCACTGATTAATGCAGAACGTTATTAGAAAAGCAAGAGAACCAAGTTATCTGGAAAACGTACATCTCTATAATCCAAATAAACCAATAAAGGGTATCACGTAAAAGGGAACTGCAAAGGGAAGTTCTGCTTTCTGAAATCCCCCCACCTTGAATATTTTTGCCAGTTTTTTTTTTGGGGGGGGCAGCAGGTACCTATTTCTGTCAGGTACCCACTCCCACTTCACTTAGGCAATTTCAACAGACGTTCACCCCACCTTTAACCTCCTGGGACATGTCACGGGTCTCAAGAGGCTGCAGGTCCATTCACAAAGTGCAACAAAACTCATGCATGCACCGTGGGAAACCAGCTGGGAAGTCGTACGGAGTCACAGCTGGCTTTCCACATCCATAATAAAGAAAAAGAAAATGTGCACAAAACCACTATACATCAATAATCTTTCAGGAAATGTATTGTGCTAATTACACTGTATGGTGGTGCTGTACTATGACTGACTGTACTAACTGCATAAAATACATAAGCCCATACTAGAACTGCAGTAGGTACATTATATTGCCAAACGTATTGGGCCAGACCTCCAAACCATTGGATTCAGGTGTTCCAATCACCTCCATGGCCACAGGTGTATAAAATCAAGCACCTAAGCATGCAGACTGCTTCTACAAACATTTGTGAAAGAATGGGTCGCTCTCAGGAGCTCAGTGAATTCAAGCATGGTACCGTGATAGGTTGTCACCTGTGCAAGTCCATCCGTAAAATTTCCTGGCTACTAAATATTCCACAACCAACTGTTAGAGGTAATATAGCAAAGTGGAAGCAACTGGGAACAACAGAAACTCAGCCACAAAAGTGGTAGGCTGTGTAAGATGACAGAGCGGGGTCAGCGCATGCTGAAGCGCACAGTGCAAAGAAGTCACCAACTGTCTGCAGAGTCAATAGCTAAAGACCTCCAAACTTCATGTGGCCTTCAGATTAGCACAACAACAGTGCATAGAGAGTTTCATGGAATGGGTTTCCATGGCCAGCAGATGCATCTAAGCCTTACATCACCAAGTGCAATGCAAAGCGTCGGATGCAGTGGTGTAAACCACGCCACCACTGGACTCTAGAGCAGTAGAGATGTGTTCTCTGGAATGACAAATCACGCTTCTCTGTCTGGCAATCTGATGGACGTGTCTGGGTTTTGGCGGTTGCCAGAACGGTACATGCCTGACTGCATTGTGCCAAGTGTAAAGTTTGGTAGAGGGGGGATTATGGTGTGGAGTTGTTTTTCAGGGGTTGAGCTTGGCCCCTTAATTCCAGTGAAGGGAACTCTTAAGGTGTCAGCATACCCAGACATTTTGGACAATTTCATGCTCCCAAGTTTGTGGGAACAGTTTGGGGATGCCTCCTTCCTGTTCCAACATGACTGCGCACCAGTGCACAAAGCAAGGTCCATAAAGACATGGATGAGCGAGTTTGGGGTGGAGGAACTTGACTGGCCTGCACAGATTCCTGACCTCAACCCGATAGAACACCTTTGGGAGGAAGTAGAGCGGAGACTGCGAGCCAGGCCTTCTCGTCCGACATCAGTGCCTGACCTCACAAATGGAAGAATGGTCAAACCGTCCCATAGACACTCCTAAACCTTGTGGATGGTCTTCCTAGAAGAGTTGAAGCTGTTATAGCTGCAAAGGGCGGGCCGACTCAATATTGAACCCTACGGATTAAGAATGGGATGCCATTAAAGTTTATGTGCGTGTAAAGGCAGGCGGACCAATACTTTTGGCAATATAGTGTATATTTAGTTATATCCAATAGGCTAGCTCAGGTTAGCATCTAAGGTGAATCAAAAAATAATTGTGAAATTATAAACAACACATATATATTGGATATCAAATGTATTCTCTTTTACCAGGCACATGTTATAATTGCCAACACATTCTTGAACATTGGGGATAGCCCTTACACACGGCAATATGGGGGTTGCGGAGAACAAGGACAGTTTATTCATCTAACTCCAAACTTCTTGATGAATGAAGATCTGATCTCAGTGTATGGAGCTCATGGTAAGCAAAACCCTAATATTGTTAATATCAGTAAGCTTCCTACTGGAAAAGCTAGCTTTACCCCATCATGACACAAAAATGATCTATAGTACTAACAAGCTAACTCATGTTATATAAGATAACATTTGCCGAAGCATACAAGCGAATATTTATTCTTGTATGTTCTACATCTGGACACAGACATTAGAAGGCAGTTTAGGGAGAAGGCAGTTTTTTCCTGTAGCCATATGATCAGTCCCAAAGTAGTAACTAGATAACTGCTGGGAACAGCAGTGGGCCAATCTCATGAGCAGAAGGTTACATTTCCAAGGAAGAGGGGATTATGTATACCAGTTGTGTGAAGTATGACCCCAAAGAAGGAAGCCATGTTAATATTTTTTTGACAGTTTTTGGAAAACAAAGTTAGCTTCATAGTGAACTAAATATATTTACAAACACGAGAAAAAAATAACTAACCATGATATTTTTTAAAAACAAAAGTAGAAATACCTATGGTGTATGGCATGATTGTAGAACCCTCTCCTGATCAATAATTTCACAATTTTAGGAAAGTTATTTGTCCAAGAATGGGCTCGTCTTCGTTGGGGAGTCTTTGAGGAGTACAACACTGACCAGCCGTTCTACATTTCTCCAAACCTTCAAGTAGAGGCTACACGGTATGTTTTCATCTATTTTCCTAGAAGATGTAAGGAAAGGATTATACAAATGTGTCAAAATACACAAGAAATGCAATTTTCTCTTCCTTTACTATTCAGAAACATAAAGTATATGATGAATCAGGCTTGTAGCCAGCGTGCCTGCTCTGTAAAATTAGATATTAAGTAGGAGGAGAGAAATCAGGATGAGTGTTAGGGCTCTTTCACACAGAAGTTCCGATCAGGTCTGCATGCCCGTTTTTCAGGCGGACCCAATTGTTACCTCCATTCTCCTCTATGGAGCAGCGGGGCGTAAACGGATAGGTGTCCGTTTATACCCGCCGACATCCGATCCAATCCGCCAAAAAGGGATGGATGGGGATCCAATTCCCCTTCCGTCCGTCGGATCAGGTCGGATGAAAACAGACAGGCGGTCTGTTTTCATCCGACCACCCACTGAGGAGAGCGAGCAGCTCTGTGTCTGCTCTGCAGCAGGGGAGCGGACACAGAGCTGTCATGTGCTTGCTCAGCGGGGATCAGCAGAGAGATCCTCTGCTGAGCAAGCGGATCCGATAAAACGGGTCCGCCCATGTGAAAGGACTTTAATTAGTGTGCTCAGGTTCACTAATAGCTCACCAAAGTAGACAGGGGCGTGAAAAAATGTGGTCAACCTCCTTCTGCTACGCAGCCATAAACCACTGTAGGAATCAGTGCATTACCAAAGTATATTAAATCATAAAAAGTGTCCCGTTGACCCCAAAGTCCTGCCCTTCCCACTATAACCCACTTAGGCCTAGTCAGACCAACAGCTTGCCATAATATGTGCATTGCTGAAAAGCGGGACACGACATCCTCTATGTACTGATATATTGCCATCTACTTTTCATAGTACACACAGCATTAAGGATGCCTATTTGCTGCCAGTGTGCACAGTGCAGCAGGTTGTCCATCTGACTATTACATCTAAGTAAAAAAAAAACTTTTAATGATTACCACTATAACTAGCTGTGCCTAGACTATGGGTGTTAATCTATTTAGATATTCTTGATGAGTAGTAAAGGAGCTTTAAAATAAGCCATCACTCACCTCCCTGGCATTTATCATGTAAAATTATTAATTCTCAAGGCTGGTTTATAGTAGGAGTCGCACAGGAACGGATTGCGTGTTCCTGCGCAATTCACATGCGGTTCAGTGCAGTGCAATTTGAGCCAATAACAAACATGCCTATACTTACTTGCTGTGTGCAATGGTTTTGCACAGAGCACCCCAGATCCTCCTCTTCCCATGTCCCTTGTCGGAGTTCCTGATCCCTCCCTCCTGTCGGGTACCCCCACAGCAAGCAGCTTGCTATGGGGGCACCCGCTGCTCCATGTGTCCATACACACGGAGCTGTGGCTCGGCCCCACCCCCTCTCTTTTCTCATTGGCTCACTGGCTGTGATTGACAGCAGTGGGAGCCAATGGCTCCCGCTTCTTTCTCAGCCAATGAGAATAGGGAGTCCCGGGGACAGTCGAGACTCCAGTGCACATCACTGGATCGAGAGAGGACTTAGGTGAGTTTTAGGGAAGCTGGGGGGGATGCTGCGCAGAGAAGGTTTTTTACCTTCATGCATAGAATGCATGAAGGTTAAAAACCTTGAGCCTTTAGAACCACTTTAAGCCATCCATAGATGGAGCTATTGTCTTTCCTGCAACCACTAACTGTGTTGATGGGGGAATCCCTCCCGTAGAACTATTGTGTTCTCCCACAGGCTGGTTGTAACAAACTGCATCTATTGATCAGTTTGGGTACATTCAGCCTGCCCATACATGGTTCGAATCTCAGCCAGTCCTTGCTGAATTGGATGAGATTCGATCCAACTATGGCTTGCTGAAATGCAGACAGGCACAATGCCATATCTAACCCCCTACCCCCAGCTGTATAGATGGCTGGTATGGAGGGGGGTTAAGAACACAGCAATATTATACCTGCTGTAAAAAAGGAAGGAGAACACAATATATGTGGCTGCTGATGGAGCAGGGCTGCATATTCCAAATCAAAGCCACAGTGTTTTTGGCTCCTAACCTTTTGGAGTTGATGCCTAGATTTTTGGAAGATTTGTCTAGGCCCGTATTTATTACTGAAAAAATCTTTTCAAAACTAAAATAGATGTTGCCCTGTAATGTAATTACACATGATCTGCCAGATAGTAAATTGAGTATTTTTTGTAGTTTTTTTTTTTTTTTAAACCTGCAATTAGAAGTCGCATGTAAAAAAAAAAAAAAAACAAATGCACAATAAATCAAGTAATAAATAGACCAAGTGATAATTTTATATATTTTTTTTAATTGCAGGTGTTCAGTCAATATTAGTGGCATCTACAGAGTTCCAGAGCATGTGGAAGATTCTTGTTTAACCAAGAGTTGTAATATAGATCCCCATACTGGTCTGTATGAACAAAAATGTACTTTCTTCCCAGAGAAGAATCAGACTGCTGGAGAATCTATCATGTATTTCCCTGGTCTGCAGTATGTGAGTGCCATGACTGTTTGTAATCCTTCCATCAGACACACATTTGGGTAACTGGAAAGGTGAACAAATCACCTGGGTTTAACTATTCCATCAACTACACCCTGATGACAACAGGGAGATTCCTACCAAGGGGCAAGATGAATTTAAGAGTTTCTCACCTTTCCATCTAAGTTAAGCCGACCACAAAGTAATCAAATCTTATCCAGTTCAGCAGGGACCGGCTGAGATTTGATCCATCTATGGGCAGGCTCAGGGGCATATTTACCTCAAGGCAAACAAGGCATTTGCCTAGGGCGACATATTTTCAGAGGGCAGCAGCATATTTCAGGGGGGCAGCGCTGCCCCTCAAAAGAAGTGAAGGAAGAAAGGACACACGCAGCATGGGGACCAGGTGGGATCTGAGAGAGGCTGCAGGCTGCTTGATGGTGTATGCAGAGTCTGACTCTTGTTCCCAGAGATGTCCAGAGCTGTGAATGTGTGTCTTCTCTCTTGACGGGGTGGAGGGGTTGCCAGTGTATGGGGGGCGGGTGGTAGTGGAAGGCTCTCTCTCGAGTGTGGGGGGGGGGGTGTTGTTGGTCAATGTCAGGCTCTTATTGTGGGGGAGGGGGGGTATTTGTCAGTGTCAGGGTCTCTCCATGGGAGGGGGAGATTTTTAACCTAAGTACACCACTGGGCAGGCTGATTGTATCCAAGTCAATCCATTGATTGACTTGGGTACAACCAGCATGTTGGATTTTTAGCATGCAATTATTGCCAGCAACTATAGTTCTCTCAGCAGGAACGGCTCCCTGCTCCCCCGCCCACCAGGAGAACATAATAGCTCTGTGGGAGGGATTCCCCCATCAACACTGACTTGTGTTGATAGGGGAATTGAGTGATTTTCCTTCCTGCAATCTGTGGCTGCAGGAAAGACAATCGCATAACCTATGGCCTACCTAAGGAGTTATGTTTTTCAACTAGACTTACACTTAGGACACCATGAAATCTAAGTTCAGGCATTGGCAGCAGTCACCTATTGCACTATTTGCTTGTCTATATCAAATTGATTGGAAGTTGACAAGTTTTTTAAGCTCCTTTAAAAACCCCAATGCAAAGATGAATGATGGCATGCAATGTACAATTACTCCCAGCAAGCAGATTTCAGCTTTGTTGTAGTCAAGATTATTTAAAGGATGATTTACATTTATCCAGGTTCCTTCCTCTTCCTTTTCATGTGGTCAACCAGGGTAAACAAATACGTCAACATCACAATAGTATTTTGTCTTGTTCATCTTATTGGTGGGAACAACAATCACAAATAGATGTCCATTCAGCAGCCTTAACAGTGATCTTCCACTTGGGCTGAAATCACAGAAACATTGTTAAGCCATTGGACACATGACGTGGCATTAAATTTAGCTTTTTTATAAAAATGGTAAACTGTTCTAATCAAATAGAACACCAAGAGAGTCCTTCTGTCTGCTGCCTAGATCTGTGATCCAGTCCTTTGGGTATCCGACAGCACTCATGCATGCTTCCCTTGGCCTCCCACAATCTGGCGCTCAGTTCCTGAACAACCAGTCACCAAGCCCAAGTTCTATCAAAAGGGTGCATGCCTATTAGTATAGCAATATACAGATATCAACTTTCAGAAAACCTAATACTTGCATAGGATCTTTGCACGGAGTCAGGATCTCAAATGATAAGTCATTATTATTATTATTATACAGTATTTATATAGCGCCAAAGGGTACAGTGGGGCAAAAAAGTATTTAGTCAGCCACCAATTGTGCAAGTTCTCCCACTTAAAATGATGAGAGAGGCCTGTAATTGGCATCATAGGTAGACCTCAACTATGAGAGACAAAATAGGAAAAAAATGAGACAATCACATTGGCTGATTTGGAAAGAATTTATTTGCAAATTATGGTGGAAAATAAGTATTTGGTCAATATCAAAAGTTCATCTCAATACTTTGTTATATATCCTTTGTTGGCAATGACAGAGGTCAGACGTTTCCTGTAAGTCTTCACAAGGTTGGCACACACTGTTGCTGGTATGTTGGCCCATTCCTCCATGCAGATCTCCTCTAGAGCAGTGATGTTTTGGGGCTGTCGCTGCGCAACACGGACTTTCAAAAAGGTTTTCTATGGGGTTGAGATCTGGAGACTGGCTAGGCCACTCCAGGACCTTGAAATGCTTCTTACGAAGCTACTCCTTCGTTGCCCGGGCGGTATGTTTGGGATCATTGTCATATTGGGAGACCCTGGCACGTTTCATCTTCATGCCCTTGCTGATGGAAGGAGGTTTGCACTCAAAATCTCACGATACATGGCCTCATTCATTCTGTCCTGTACATTGATCAGTCGTCCTGGTCCCTTTGCGTAGAAACAGCCCCCAAAGCATGATGTTGCCACCCCCATGCTTCAAAGTAGGTATGGTGTTCTTTGGATGCAACTCAGCATTCGCTTTCCTCCAAACACGACGAGTTGTGTTTCTACCAAACAGTTCTATTTTGGTTTCATGTGACCATATGACATTCTCCCAATCCTCTTCTGGATCATCCAAATGCTCTCTAGCAAACTTCAGATGGGCCCGGACATGTACTGGCTTAAGCAGGGGGACACGTCAACCACTGAGATCTGAGTCTGGCGGCATACGTTGGTCCCAGCTCTCTGCAGGTCATTCACTAGGTCCCCCTGTGTGGTCTGGGATTTTTGCTCACCGTTCTTGTGATCATTTTGACCCCACGGGGTGAGATCTTGCGTGGAGCCCCAGATCGAGGGAGATTATCAGTGGTCATGTATGTCTTCCATTTTCTAATTATTGCTCCCACAGTTGATTTGTTCACACCAAGCTGCTTGCCTATTGCAGATTCAGTCTTCCCCCAGCCTGGTGCAGGTCTACAATTTTGTTTCTGGTGTCCTTCGACAGCTCTTTGGTCTTCACCATAGTGGAGTTTGGAGTGTGACTGTTGGAGGTTGTGGACAGGTGTCTTTTATACTGATAACAAGTTCAAACAGGTGCCATTGATACAGGTAATGAGTGCAGGACAGAGGAGCTTTAAAGAAGAAGGTACAGGTCTGTGAGAGCCAGAAATCTTGCTTGTTTGTAGGTGACCAAATACTTATTTTCCACCATATTTGCAAATAAATTCTTTCCAAATCAGCCAATGTGATTGTCTGGATTTTTTTTTTCTCATTTTGTCTCTCATAGTTGAGGTCTACCTATGATGCCAATTACAGGCCTCTCTCATCTTTTTAAGTGGGAGAACTTGCACAATTGGTGGCTGATAAATATTTTTTTGCCCCACTGTATGCTCAGCGCTGTACAGTAGCAAGGGGGACAGAACATGTGACAAGACAGTAACAATACACTACACGAGGGGTTCGAGGGCCCTGCTCTTTCGAGCTTACAATCTAAGTCATGGCACCAGAGGATACTTACAGTGTAGATGGGAGGTTGTTTTATTTGCTAATGACTAAGTATGCTTTAAAATAAAAATGAAAGAGCCAGAAAGCTCTATAGTGATTTTATAATAGGTTTCTGTCCTTAATAGCTACTCCTCCCCCACAATGTACACAAGTTGCTGCCCCAAAAGCAACAAATCAGGTTTTCACTTCTGTTGCCTTGAAAAAAAAAAATCTGGCATCTAAAAACTCTAGGCATCGCAGATGGACTTGATGGTCCTTTACTTATGAAGTAATGCCATATTTGTAGTTCTTCTACTGTGTAATGTGCCAGATACAGTACACTGTCAGCACCCCCTCACTTTGTTAAAGAGTAACTCAAGGGAAGCTGTAATCTATAGATGTTTACAGTCAGCAGATACAATTTCAGTGACTCATTTACCCACTAACCTTCTGCACACATTTCAGATAAATATACAGTATGTCACAGTTGATGGCTGCACCTTGCATACTAAGTGGGTCACTATGGGGAGATCAAGGCTGGGTATGGGGCTGCAGCATTAAGGGGTCACAAAAATCTCTGCACACAAAAAATCCGTGCAGCCGCACCACCCACACAGAGGAATGCAGACCTGCGGGCAGGTGCCATCAATTCTAATGGCATGCCACCTGCACTGGAAATCGCAACCGTACTCGGGAACCGAGGTTAACGTGTGGGCTGCGTTTTCAGAAGAAGTGCAGGGACTTCTCTCTGCGTGTGTCCCGGGGCACGGGGGGTCCTTTCAAATGAATGGGCTCTCCTGCCCGCGCAAAACACGGAATTCAGGAACGTGGATATGTGAACCAGGGGTTACTATAACTGGAGCACTCAGAATCTGGTCCAGCTGTACATGGTAGCCAATCAGCTTCTAGCTTGTTGAATTAAGCTTTGGCAAAAAACCTGGAAGCTGATTGGTTTCTAAGCAGAGCTGTACCAGATTTCCAATTTTAGTAAATAACCCCCTATATGTCATACATATATCCATATGACACTAAGGGGCTGATTTACTAAAATTGGAAAGTGCAAAATGTGGTGCAACACTGCACAGAAACCAATCAGCTTCCAGTTTTTTTGGCAAAGCCTAATTAAACAAACTTAAGTTACCCTGGATTTACACTAGCCCTCAAGCTGTGGGCTGGTTGCGGGTGCAGGAATTGCACCTGTTTCTGCACCCGCAACCACCCGCAGCCAAATCACGCTGCCATGCCTGAGCAAATACGGGCTGCACAGCTTGCAGTACTGTGAACCGGGCCTTAGAAACTGATTGGCTACCATGCACAGCTGCACCAGATTTTGCAATCTCCAGTTTTATTAAGGCTAGGTTCACATATGTGTGGGTGGTGCCGCTGTGGATCCGCACAAAAGTCCGTGCAACCGCACCACCCACACAGAAGAATGCGGACCCGCGGGCGGGTGCCATTAATTCTAATGGTACGCCGCCCACACTGGAGATCGCAACTGTACTGAGAACCGAGGTTCCCGCTCAGGCTGCGTTTTCAGAAGAAGTGGAGGGACTTCTTCCTTGTCCTGGGGCACAGGAGTCCATTCAAATGAATGTGGATATATGAACGGGGGGTAAATCAACCCCCAAATGTCACTACCATACAAAAACTGAACCACAAAAACGACAGCACTTTCCTAAGGCAACCAATCAGGTTTCATATTGCAGATTAAGTAACTGGATTGCGCTAAGTGGAAATGCTCCATTCTGTTGAACATCAACACAACATGTAAACAATGAAGCCCTGATGTCTGTCAAATGTTAGAATAATTTATTGTACTACATAGAATGCTTTATATGCTCAGTATGTGTTTTTTAACATAGTGTATGCCTATTTTATTCATTTGAATAGTATTGTAGAGAGCCACAGTGCCGTTTGCATCTATGCCTGGCACCATGAGGATAGCATGCCTTTTTTTAAAAATCTGAAGCCAGGACTCCAGCACTGGCAGGTTTCAATGCAAACTACTTAACCACCCTCTTTCCCATTAGAATGAAACACTTTTATTAAAGTGTTACTAAACCCACAACAGTAAAATCAGTCTGTATATGCAGTAAAGCATGCTTGTTATACTCACTGTGGAACCTAAGAGGTTAATCCTCTGCATTGTGCAAAAAGGCTGTTTGATCCTGATTGCTCTGTTCCTCCCCTGTTCAAGCAACTACCTTTTATCTCCTGATAAGACAGATTGAACCGTAGGCATTGTGCACATGCTCAGTTTGGTGTGTATTGCTAGAGAGGTTTTTTTTTTTTTTTTTTTTTTTTTTCTTTGGAGAGTGCATGTGATCAGCACAGGGCCAATCAGCACTGGTCAGACAGAGGTCAGGGGTTATGCATCCTCCTACAGCAGAGAAAAAGGTCTTGCAAGCTTTAGCTAGTGCTTGGCTGAACACTGACATAAGCCACAAGACTGCTCTAATTGCTGATGAGAAAAGGTATTTAGCAGTTTATATTTACTAAAATAATTGCATTTCCATGTTTGTGTACTGTGGGAGACCAGATATAGTGAATGCAGGGTCCGGGAGATCAGATAGTAAATGGTGAATGCAGGGTCCTGGAGACCGGATATAGTAATGCAGGGTCCTGGGGAGACCGGATATAGTGAATGCAGGATTCTGGGAGACCGGATATAGTGAATGCAGGGTCCGGGGAGACCGGATATAGTGAATGCAGGGTCCGGGGAGACCGGATATAGTGAATGCAGGGTCCGGGGAGACTGGATATAGTGAATGCAGGGTCCGGGGAGACCGAATATAGTGAATGACCTGGGAGACCGGATATAGTGAATGCAGGGTTCGGGGAGAGCAGATATAGTGAATGCAGGGTCCGGGGAGTCCAGATATAGTGAATGCACCGGGGAGACCGGATATAGTGAATGCAGGGTCCGGGGAGACCAGTTATAGTGAATGCAGGGTCCGGGGAGACCGGATATAGTGAATGCAGGGTCCGGGGAGACCGGATATAGTGAATGCAGGGTCCGGGGAGACCGGATATAGTGAATGCAGGGTCCGGGGAGACCGGATATAGTGAATGCAGGGACCGGGGATAGATATAGTGAATGCAGGGTCCGGGGAGACCAGATATAGTGACTGCAGGGTCCGGGGAGACCAGATATAGTGAATGCAGGGTCCGGGGAGACCAGATATAGTGAATGCAGGGTCCGGGGAGACCAGATATAGTGAATGCAGGGTCCGGGGAGACCAGATATAGGAATGCAGGGTCCTGGGAGACCAGATATAGTGAATGCAGGGTCCGGGGAGATATAGTGAATGCAGGGTCCGGGTTTAATAACAATTTAACTTAAAATATTTAATGTATTCATGTCGGCCAACTATTGTGTGTGATAAATATATAGATTTGAAGCAATGACTCTACCACCACCACGTGGTCATTATTAATATTACAGTTTCTCTTTTCCATATAATATTTGCTGCTGATTTCTGACTTTTGTCAGCCTTTTGTTGCAGGCTGTGACTTTCTGTCCCTCTGACTACTCTGTCACTGGGACAAAAAGTGAGTGTAAATCAGACAGCAATAAAATCTTAACAGGGATTTCAATTTTCCCCACTCTATTAAAAAAAAAAGTCCAATTTTTAATATTGGCAGTAATTTTATATATAGCATAAAGTGGACCTTCTATGGCAAACAAAAGGTCCGATTCTTTACCAGCCCCATGTGACCCAACATAAATAGCTTTCCAAATCCATTTGTAAACAAACCATTACCTCTCCTTTTCCTGCTCATTTATGTTTGTTTGGAACCAGCAGTGCAGGTTAACTAAGGACATGTGTACTGCTCTATGCACACTCGCAAATGCAAACCCTTTATTCCATAGTCCCAGTACATCACAGGATTAAGCAAGAGAGGGTGGCTACATTCCTACATACAGTGGGACGATGGAGAACGAATGTAGCCACCCTCTAATAGCAAATCAGATATAACAGCAACAAAGAAAAGTACTTTTGAGATTTGGCTGAAAACAGATATTTTGGAGTTAAGAATATATACTTGAATGGATTTTTTTTTTTTCTTAAATGTTTCACTTTAAGTATAATGGAGTGTCACTTATTTTGTTTTCTCTCCTTCCCCGGCACTCCTTCCAAGACTTAAACTCTCCTTACCTCATCCAGCTGACTAGACTGCACATATGTTTATCAAAATGTCCCCAGCCCGCATTCTCCATTCATTCCTATGGAGTATATGAGTACAGTATGTGCTCCATAGGAATGAATGGGATTGCAGAGTGCATGCACAGGTGGAGAAAGGGGGATTACGAAGCAATCATGAATGAGATTTCAGCTGTTTGCAGTTCATTGTAATAATACCAAACAAACACTATTGCTGATTGGTTTCTATGGGTTCCAGCATTTAGCAAATTATTTGACTTGACACTTATGATTTTGCTATAAAAGGTATGATTTTTTTATTCTTTATTGAGCTTTGAATAATTATCCTTTTACATCTTACTAATAAATAACAGAAAAGACAAAAATAACATTAAAAACCTCCTTTCCTTTTACAGATATCTGAATTCTGCACTGAAAACTCTCACAACATGGAAGCTCCCACAATGCAGAATCGGATGTGTGACTGTCATAGTACATGGGACATTATTAGGAATTCCAGTGATATCTACCTGTCTTCTCCAAAGGAGTATTTCAGCCCTCCAGAGCCGGTCTTCTCTTTTCTGAGCTACAAAGAGAGAGTGATCACTCTCCTGATAGATGTCTCTGGAAGCATGGCCACCGTACGTGTTAGAACCTGCACTGTGTTCAAAAACTGGCAGTTGGTCGACTGGTAAAAGCTGTTGCAAAGCTCAACTGTCAGTGAAAACCTTTTTTGCAATACCTTCCTGCAATCATTTCCTTCTTTAGAAGATTATGAGGCCTTTTACAAAGCATATATGCTGTGTGCAGAGGAGTTTGATTCTAAAAAATATAACTAATTGTGTTTGAAGAGGAACAATATCCAAAACAAATTAAGTTACACTATACGTACATATGAACTGTGTATGTAAATGTTTCTTCTCAACTCCCAAAACTGAAATTTGTCATTGATGCCACTTAACTGTGATAGCTGTTCGTCTACAGCAGGGTGTCAAACTCAATTTCATCAAGGGCCACATCAGCAGTATGCTTGCCCTCAAAGCGCTGGTTGCATCTGGGGGTGTGCTATGTAGAATGTTTCAGAGTTCAGGAGTGTGTTATGTACAGATGCAGGGTTCAGGAGTGTGTTATGTACAGATGCAGGGTTCAGGAGTGTGTTATGTACAGAGTGCAGTTTTCAGCGGTGCACTATGTACAGAATGCAGGGTTTAAGGATAAACTATGTACAGAGTGCAGGGTTCAGGAGTGTGTGTTCTGTACAGAGTACAGGGTTCAGAAGTGTGTTATGTACAGCGTGCAGGGTTCAGGAGTGTGCACTATGTACAGAGTGCAGGGTTTAGGGGTTCAGCTATGTACAGAGTACAGGGTTCAAGAGTGTGTGTTATGTACAGAGTGTAGGGTTTTAGGGGTGCACTATGTACAGAGTACAGGTTCAGGATTGTGGTATGTACAGAGTCCAGGGTTCAGGGTGCACTATGTACAGAGTGCAGGGTTCAGGGTTGTGGTATGTACAGAGTGCAGGGTTCAGGGGTAACTATGTACAGAGTACAGGTTCAGGATTGTGGTATGTACAGAGTGCAGGGTTCAGGGTGCACTATGTACAGAGTGCAGGGTTCAGGATTGTAGTATGTACAGAATGCAGGGTTCAGGGGTGCACTATGTACAGAGTGCAGGGTTCAGGATTGTGGTTATGTACAGAGTGCAGGGTTCAGGGGTGCACTATGTACAGAGTACAGGGTTCAGGATTGTTATGTACAGAGTGCAGGGTTCAGGGGTGCACTATGTACAGAGTACAGGGTTCAGGATTGTGGTATGTACAAGACAGGGTTCAGTGTGGTATGTACAGAGTGCAGGGTTCAGGGGTGCACTGTGTACAGAGTGCAGGGTTCAGGGGTGCTCTATGTACAGAGTGCAGGGTTTAGTAGTGCACTATGTACAGAATGTACAGGGTTCAGGAGTGTGTTATGTACAGAGTGCAGGGTTCAGGGGTGTATTATGCACTGTGTACAGAGTGCAGGGTTCAGGAATGTGTTATGTACAGAGTGCAGGGTTTGGAGTGTGTTATGTACAGAGTGCAGGGCTCAGTTGTGTGTTATGTACAGAGTATGGTTCACTATGTGCAGAGTTCAGGGTTCAGGAGTGTGTACAGAGTGCAGGGTTTAGGAATGTGTTACTATGTACAGTGCAGTTTCAGGAGTGTGTTATGTACAGAGTGCAGGGTTCAGGACACTATGTACAGAGTGCAGGGTTCAGGAGTGTACACTATGTACAGAGTGCAGGGTTCAGGGGTACACTATGTGCAGAGTGCAGGGTTTAGGGGTAAATATGTACAGAGTGCAAGGTGCAGGAGTGCATTACATACAGAGTGCAGAGATCAGTGATGTACTGTGTACAGGACAACCTAAACCGCAACCCCCCACCCCCCCCCCCTTCCACAAGCTTCCTCGCATTTCTCTCTCTTAGCTGGGCCAGCTCTACTACCTCCCTGTGTAGGAGTGCCTGCTACCTGTGCATTCTTCTCTACTACCTCCTTGTGTAGGCAGTTCTTTGCAGGGAGATTGTTCTGTCAGGAGTAGAGGGCCTGAGCCAGAAGTGGCAGAATGGAGTGCGCCACATTGGGGCTGCAAAACTGTGTGCAAGGGCCACATGACAAGGCCTGGCGAGCCGGATTCGGCCTTGTGTTTGACATATGTGCTCTACAGTATGTATTTTACTTTTGGCCGAGAAGCAGGAAAATGCTAGTAAGTGGTTACCTTCTATGTTTAAAAGAAAGATTTTTTTTTTTTTGTTTATAGAAAATTCCCCTTTCCTGTACTACCAAAATTCAACCAAAATGTTTTCTGTTAAGTGTGGAGTAGGGAAAGGTTATAACTTCTTATTGTTGCCCCTGGCTCATTTGGAAAAATGTCCTGTCCTGCCCCAAAACACCAGAGTCACTGGGTACAGAAAAATGGAGACAGCAACAAAAACCTGACAGAGGTTCTGATCCTTCCCCACCCAGACATCAGTATGTAGATTAGGAGATATCAAGTCAATCTGCAAGCTTGTTCCAGGTCAATCACTTGAAATACTGAAGCCAAAGGCACTGTGTGCTAGCCAGGCAGCTAGCATATTCAGAAGGAGCCAGCAGCAGTAACAGCCAGCATGTTTCTCTTTTGATAGCTGTCCTATTGGGAAACTTCTAGCAATGGAATTCCACATAGAGGGCACATTGCCTCCAGACCCTACGTGTAAGGCTGGGAACATGCAAGAAATGGCCTGGCAATACTGGATGTTAGCTCCGGTGACGGGTCATTACCAGATTTCTTACATCTCTGGAATTTCTATTTCTATTCTGGGTGGGATTGAGATGCTCCCGGGTAGAAACAAGCATTATTGGCAGGAGAAAAATACTTACTAGAGATGTACGTGTTTGATTGCGTATGCCATGTTGAATGCATATGTATGTATGTTGTATGCATGTGTATGTATATTGCATATACAGTAGGTGTATGTATGTTGTATGCATGTGTATGTATGTTGCATATAGGTGTATGTATGTTGTATGCATGCATATGTATGTTGCATATATAGGTGTATGTATGTTGTATGCATGTGTATGTAGCATATAGGTGTATGTATGTTGTATGCATGTCTATGTATGTTGGATATAGGTGTATGTATGTTGTATGCATGTGTATGTATGTTGCATATAGGTGTATGTATGTGTACGTATGTTGCATATAGGTGTATGTATGTTGTATGCATGTCTATGTATGTTGCATATATGTGTATGTATGTTGCATGCATGTGTATGTATGTTGCATATAGGTGTATGTATGTTGTATGCATGTATGTTGTATGCATGTGTATGTATGTTGCATATAGGTGTATGTATGTTGTATGCATGTGTATGTATGTTGCATATAGGTGCTACTAACATTTATAGGTAAAGTTGATCCAGGGAATATCCGAATTGCCTCTCGGGGGATCAGGAAGGAATTTTTTCCCCCGCAGGAGCAAATTGGATCATGCTTTGCTGGTTTTTTTTGCCTTCCTCTGGATCAACTGTGGGTATAGGAAAATTTAATTTTTTTTTTTTTAATGGTTGAACTGGATGGACTTTTGTCTTTTTTCAGCCAGACTAACTATGTAACTATGTGTATTTATGTTGTATGCACATGTATGTATTTTGCATATAGGTGTATCTATGTTGCATGTGCATGTATGTTGTATGCAGTGGGTTTGTATGTTACATGTATCTGTGCATGCAGTGTGAATGTATGTTGCATGTATGTTACGTGTGTGTATGTATGTTGTATGCATATGTATGTATGTTGCATATAGGTGTATGTATGTTGTATGTATGTGTATGTACTTATGCATATAGGTGCTTAACATTTATGTTAAAGTATCCAGGGAATATGCAATTGTTTCGGAGGATGAAAGGAATATTTTGCAAATTGGATCGTTACATTGCTGTGTGTATGTTCCTCTGGATCAATGTGGATATAGGATATAGGTTGAACTGGATGGACTTTTTTTCATCCGACTAACTATGTAACATGTATGTATGATGTATGCATATGGGTTTGTATGTTACATGTATCTGTGTATGCAGTGTGAATGTTGTTGCATGCATGTTACATGTGTATGTATGTTGTATGGAAGTTGTTACGCATGTACCTAGTGTATGCAGTGTGATGTATATTTAAGGGTGGTGTGTAAATGAAATAGATCTATGTTGCAGTATGTAGGTCATATGCGGTGTGCTTGGCTGTATGTATTCATGTACTCAGTGTGAATGTACATGTTGCATGCATGACCCCCACATGTATGTATGGAATTTGTACCCATGTACCTAGGTGGTACCCTTTAATTACTATGTAAGGGTGGAAATGACCCCAGACCACAGGCAGTGCACTATGTGGGCTGTATTACCCAGCTGACCCTTAAACTATATGTTACACACTCCTGACCCCCACACTATGTATGTTACCCACCCCAGACCCCCACACTATGTGCGTTACCCAGCCTGGACCCCAGTACATTACATACTTCTAACTCCTGTACTCTGTACATAGGCTTATGTTTTAAGCCCCTCCCACTATTAGCATAATTTTGTTACACCCATTAATGCAGTGCAGTAGCCCCTCCCCCTGTTCCTCCCCCATTCTCTGGAACTTAAAAGTTCAAAATTTCCCAGTTCCACGTATGTGCTTGTTCAGTCAAATCCTCTTATCTGTCTGCAGAACAATCGTCTGTGGCGAGTCCACCAAGCAGTAGACATATTTCTCACTGAGGCGATTGCTCCTGGAACGTACGTTGGTCTTGTTGAATTCTCACTCTTCCCATTCACCCTGGCTGAGCTCAGACAAATCAACAGTGATGCAGACCGCGAGCAACTGAAATCACGTTTCCCAACTACAGCCTCAAACTATGGATCAGACTTCTGCATTGCCATTCAAAAGGCTTTTGAGGTAAAATGGATTTTGTTTTTTTTCCTTCATCCATTAGTATGCTCTGTCTAAACTACTGAGCAATTTAAAAGATAAATGGACTTCCAGGGCTTGTTCACACCGCAGTGCCCAGTGCAGTCCCAATGCAAGAAAAAGGCAAATAGCTATACATCCAGAGGCGTCCCTAGGGTTGGTGTCACCCGGTGCAGTAACACTGGGTGACACCCTCTCCGACGATCCCCGAAGAATGGATCGGATCTGCGGATTGAGCATAATGGATCGGTCTCTGAATCCATTATGCTCCCCAATCCGCAGATCCTATCCATCCTGTGGGGATCATCGGCTTTCTTTACAACTTACCTATTCGTGGAGCGGGTCCGGTGTCACCCCGTAAAGGTTGCATGCAGACGATCCCCGCAGGATGGTTCGGATCTGTGGATTGAGCATAATGGATCGGAGTCCAATTCATTATGCTCCCAAATCCGCAGACCCCATCCATCCTGCGGGGATCGTCGGCATGCAACCTATACGGGGTGACACCGGACCCGCTCCACGAATAGGTAAGTTGTAAAGAAAGCCGACGATCCCCGCAGGATGGATCCGATTGCTTTACAACTTACCTTTTTTCGTGGACCTTTTTCGTGGACGGGGACTCCACTGTATACATCCCATGGTTTTAGTTCACACCAACATGCTGGGTTAGTGTGCACTGAGAAAACAAATATTGCATTTTTACGCAGCAAATTCCACAGACTGTAACATGCTGCAATGCATTACAATCCACAGTCCCAACCAGGGGCGGACTGACCATTTGGAAACTCGGCACTGACCGGGGTCAGTAGGGGGCCCCATGAGATGCCCCTGGTATTTTTCATAGGTTTTTTGAGTTCAAGGACACCCCCAACATGCCCGGGGGCCCGATGAGTGTGCACTGAGAAAAAAAATATTGCATTTTTACGCAGCAAATTCCACAGACTGTAACATGCTGCAATGCATTACAATCCGCAGTCCCAACATAAAAAAAATTAATTGCAGCAGAGATAAAGTAAAGAATCTCAGAACCCTATTACTCTGCCCCAGCCTGCTTACTTCTCAATAGGATCAGTATGATGCACTTTATTTTCACACATTCCATTTTTTGGGCATAATTAAATTGGTCTAGTTTGGGCCAATGTAAGTATGCATATGCCATAGCTGTGGGATCCTTTTGGAAGCAGAAAACCACTGTACTAGTCATGGCTACTACACAGATCACCACTATCTTCTGGTTCCCACTGCGGCAATGCTTACTCGGCATACGCACTAGTCACAGAATGTCTTGCATTATTCTCAGTGAATGCAAAGCAATTTCTGATTGGATGAGATGGAGATTGTAATATTTCGGCCCACTCTCTCCTTTTTGTCCAATCAGAAAATGCACAGGCAGCAGACCTGGAATACAGCGGTGATTGCGTATTAGCGATGACTACTACATTGATTCTCTGCTTCCACAGGTATGACATACGCATACCTTCATCTGTCCAAGCTGGACCAATGTAACTATGCAAAAAAAGACATAACTGGAAGCCAGCTTTAAGCTGAACTCCAGTCAGATAAAAAAAAAACACCAATCTTTGTAGTTACATATTATTTAACGAATAATTCAACGTAACTTTAAATCTAACTAATCTAAGTACCCAAATTTGTTTTGGAATGATTTGATAAACTCTTGTGAGAGGAATGGGCATAACTAGGAACCAATCCAGTGCTTGATGCACAGGCTAACAAAGAACACTGCTATTAGGAGGAGAAAGATGAGCTCATCAGTCTGCTGCTTGTTTTGTGGTCCAATCACAGGTTAAAGGCAGGGAGGTGACTTAGCTATTTTGCTTATCTGCACT